TATTTTGGCTCTTAAATATGATAATAATAATAATAATATCTCTACTCCTCATTCTAACTACGAGAATTAGCCCAGAAGTCGGAGACTTGTGCGGGAGAGGAGGCGGCATATTATTATTACGCAGGCCGCATTTGCGCCCAGGAACGACTTATGTTGGTAGGCCCTAACCACCATTCAGTGCAGGAATGAGGGAAACCTGGAAAACCTCATTAATTAGGGGGGTGGTCAAATGCCCACCGGTGTCAATCTCTCACATTGACGCAAGCCAACATACTTCCAGCCTACCATACCTGCACAGAGGGTGCCAATCCTCCGTACAAGCATAGCTAATATACGGTCTACCGGCCGCGGGATTCGAAACCCGGGCAGATCGACACATCGATTTAAGTACTGACGTCTTAAACCGTGCGGCTATCGACCGACATTTACTTGTGTTGTGTACTTTTAAATAAAATAAGATGGCAAACAATACATGAAAATTTATTTGTAAATTGAAACAATAAAAAAATTACCAATTAATATTATATCTAGACAAAGGGAAGAGTGAATAAAAACTTAAATGATTTAAAAAATATTTTGTTCAAAACGGGTGCCTCCGGACTGTAGACAAGCACGACATCTAATTATGGAGGTAGTGGCCGATCGACACTGAATTGGAGTTAATTCTCGACACGCTTGGACTATTCGCTGTCTTAGATCTTCTAGGGTATCAACTGGCACCTCGTAGACTTTTTGTTTAACAACACCCCAAACGAAATAATCCATCGGTGTCAAATCCGGTGAACGTGCGGGCTACGTTGCAGGTCCTCCACCACCAATCCATCTCCTGGGATAATTAATGTTTAACCACTCCCTAGGTTCTCTACCAAAATGGGCAGGACAACCATCTAGTTGAAACTAACTGTTCATTCGAGTATTAAGCGGAACATCTTCTAACAGATCTTGAAAACCATTTCTAAGGAAAATTTTTGTTGAGGTTCATTTTAAAGTTTACCGACAGAATCCAGAAGCATCCTTCCGAAAAATCAATTTTGCCATGAAAGTATGAGTTAGGAAAAAAAGTGAATGTACACTTTTTGTCAATAACAAATTGTTCTAACGAGCGTTCAAATAAAAACGTGGTCGAAGTTGGCTCTGACACATTGGACGTAGGGAGTAGCTTATAGCGACCAACTTAACCTCATTTCTCAACCAGCTGTATAGCAGCTGTCAGTTTCAATAACGTTAATGACCATATAACTTTATTTTAAAAAATAATCGTGATAACAATAACAAACAATTAAAGGAGCTGCGGAAAGTGTCCCCCTCCTTGTTATAACAATAAATTAAAGCAGCTGCTGAAAGTGTCCCCCTCCTTGTTCCAAGCACTTTTCACACCTGTTCCTCAAAGAATTAAAGACATTTTCTAAGATGCTCGGGGTATTGTTAATTTCACGAATCTTGTCTATAAGTCGAGCCTGCAGATGGTTTAAATCAGGAATAGGCAGTTCAAAAATAGTGTTTTTAAGGTAAGG